TTAATTCTTTCTTTTTTTCAAAACAGTTTATTATGATATGATACATATAGTCCAATATAACTCATAATTTTCACAAAAAATCCACTATCCTACCCTCCTCCCTTCCCCCCCCCCTATTCGGCTTCCCACAGTGCTCCAACCTCCTGCACAATTCTTAGTTCTTTATTCTACTTCTTTTTCACTTCAAAATGTCCATAGGTAACTTAATTTTCTCTATGTTATTCAAACAATTTTATCTATTCTTTAGTAAAAATATATCTTTAATTCTTCAACCGGAATAAACAGAACCTTTCAAAGTTCTTGATTTTGGCTGGATAGTCTCCTTAGCTTTGTTGCAGCTTTTACAACTGTTTCCACCAGTTAGCTAAAATAATCATATTGGTGTACTGGTTAGGTGCCAGTATACCCCAATTTCAATAGACAAATTTACTTGGAAATCAGGAAATGTTAATGATTAGTTACCAGTGCCCAAACACAGCCATTTGCTGTTATCATTTCAGAGCCAGCCCTAAGAGCTATAAAGAGGAATTTTTCTCTTCTAAGCAGCAGCTGTGCTTCCTATCAGACCCCTGCAGAAGAGTGGTCTTCTAATAGCATTTCCACATAGGGAAGAGGCCTTGAGTACAGGCACTCACCAGGGCCACAGCAGGGTAGCTGTTTAGCACACTCAGCCAAAGTCAAGGGTCATGGTTATATCTTGCCGGAACAGTCACAATCCATGTGAGATGCATTAATACTGCCATTATAATTAGTTATAATGAAACAATACAATCCAAATGCTTTTTTCTAAAGTGCCAACATCTCGTCCATTTCTGGAATAACATCTACATCTGTCTCTGTGCCAGACTCTCTGTGACTTTGTCAATGCAGTCGACTGATGCAATTAGAAATATCATTTTAATACATAATTGCCAAGTCTGTCCTACAGGACAACAAACAGGAAATAGGTGATGGGCATAATTTCTATTGGCCTAGCTAATGTTTAAAGGTTTGGAAGCTGTTGGATCCAAACAAAGGTCTCCACGAAGCATTATCATTCATTCATTCATTCATTCATTCATTGACCTTTATTGGCATATAATTAGTCATAAGGCATATAAAACATTGTATCGATGAAGCATTAGACACCTGAAGCAAAATCAAATCAAACGAACTGGTTTGTGTTATGTATGGAAATATACGTTGAACTGTTTCAATGTTTTGATGTTTGCCACCTTGGGGACCTTATTTGGGTGGAAAGGTGGCAAAGAAAGAGCCAGTTTAGTGTAGTGGTTCAGTGCCTGGACTCTAATCTGGGAGAACCGGGTTTGATTCCCCACTCCTCCATTTGCACCTGGCTGGATGACCTTGAGCAAGCCTAGTTCTGGCACAGCTGTTCTTGAAAAAGAGCAGTTTCTGTCAAGAGGTCTCTCAGCCCCACCTACCTCACGGGGTGTCTGTTATGGGGAAGGGAAGGGAAAGGAGTTTATAAGCCGCTCTGAGACTCCCTTGGGTAGTGAAGGGTGGGGTATAAATCCAATCTCTTCTTCTTCTTCTTCTTCTTCTACTTCTATAAAGCCGCCCTGAGCCTGCTTGCGGGATGGGCGGGGTATAAATATAATAAATAAATAAATAAATAAATAAATAATAAATAAATAAAATAAACTATGGAAGGCTGCTGCAGCATGTCACATGTGATCCAAATTTATGGATGACAGGAGTGTAGCCTATGGAGGGGGGGGAGCTTAGAGAGATACAGAGATCATCAATTTTCTCCTTCCCAGTAAAAAACAACATGTCCTACACATAATCCCATTAGGATTGCCAACAGGCCGGGGGGGGGGGTGAGTCCTGCTCCCTGAACAGAGGTTTAATATATGAAAGTGTGCAGCTGAAGCTTTTCATAGCATGAAGGTCAATAACATCCCATGGTAAATAACATCCCATTAAGCCTCTGTTACAGAGACACAGGGCTGCCAGGCCCCCTTAGCCACCGCCACCCACCACCAATCAGCTGGCCAGTGGGGGAACTTACTGCAGTGAGGGGAAACCCAGGCCAGCATTGCAGTGACATCAGCAGTGACATGGCAAGTCACTTCTGGTGCATGTCATCGCATTGCTGGCAACATGGGACACTCTCGTATTTGTGGGGGGGGGGGAACCTATGATAAAAAGGCATCTACCGTAGAGTTTTTGCCCAAATACCAGAGTACCCCACATCACCAGTGACATGATGACGTCATCGGCAACATCACCGCAATGCCAGCCTAAACCTCTTCCTGCTGCCAGTAAATCCCCCTGCTGGTTGCCAGGAGAGGCCTGGTACCAGCAGGAGGACGTTTTTTCTTCCAGGATGCTGGGCAACCACAGCTACCCTATCTAGATTACAGTCTGTCCGAAGCAGGAAGCAGAAATGAGTGGAGAATACCAGCCTGAATATCTAAAGCGAGCCAGACTGCATGTTGCAGAGGAGAAAGTCCCTGGATTACTGTCAGTGTTTCTAGACTGAGGATCAGTACTGGCCTGAGCCTTCTCCAGTTCTGAAGTTTTAAACAGCCAGAATGACATGGTTCCCTGGCTGCTTTTTAAAGTGATACCAAAAAGTGTTGTCCCTGCGGGAACCTATTGTTCAAAATGACTTCCATGGGGGGATTCATGGAGAACCTGGTCCTATTGAGTAAATTGTTCTTTCTGCCCAATAGCACTGAGCAGTTGGCCATAAATATATTTCTGTACCTGCTTCCTGTCACTCTTGTACCATACTGAGGTATCCTCCCATTAATTTTAACTCTGGCAGAAGCTTGTCTCACAAAAACACCCGAAGTCTGATTTTAATTCCATAATACCCAAGATTACCATCTCCGATCCCCTACCGCCACCTGCTGGACAGATACCTTACTATGGTCACTATCTGTCAGGCAATGACTGCTACTTGCCATCCCACAAGTTGCTTTTCTGGCCAACCACAGTATTTTTGATGCATATCCACCAGTGCAGGGGCGGGAACCAAACATTTTAAAAGCTTTGTTTTAAATGGGACAATTAAGAAAAAGTAAATTTATGCATGTTTTCCTGGTTTGGATCTTTACTTTGGATTGCCTGTTTCTCGTCCCCAAATAACAGAGCGTTCTTTGTCCCTTTCACTTGGGCTGTTATATTTCCCTAGCCTGAATTTTGATGCTCGGGCTCTACAACTGAAACCACATTAATAACTCAGAAACAGTGTTTGGCATACCGTCTGGTAGACTCTCCCCAACTTTGCTGCCGCTTTATTGCTACAGAATTTCCTTTTCTCTTTCAAAAGCTGGCCAGGGCATTTCCTCATGGCTTCCACCCATCCTCCCACATCTGGCCAAGAAACAGCAGGCAGGAGGCTCAGGCCTCCAGAATTCATGGGAAGAGAAAGGGGAGAAAGGAAGAATACTTCAGGGCAGGTCTCAACGACTAAAGTAATGCTAACTAGCATGCCTGGATTCTCTTGCTCTAGCTGTGACATCCACAGTGCCTCCTCCCTTGCTGGAGTTTCCCAAAGATGAAAGCTTGTAGGTGGGAATCACCAGATTTTTAAGAATGGCAGCAAGGGACAGGACGTTTGGAGCCTACACACCAGAACATAAAAGACATCATCCAGCCAGAAATAAGCCTTTTTAAATCTCAATGAGTGCAACGAGACACAATTAAGAATGTCCTTAACACTCCCATTGAAACCCATAGGCCTGAAATGTGCCTGCATTCCTATCCAAACTTACTTGAGGAATAAGTCCCATTAATTCCATTTGCCTAGACCAGGCTGCATTTTTGCCTGGATTGGCAGTCAGTCAGACAAGCCTTTATTGGCATATACATATCGATACAATAGTAAATCGGCCTGATTACAGATTTAAAAGGTAAAGGTAAAGGTTCCCTTGCTCGAAAGCCAGTCGAATCCGACTCTAGGTTTGCGGTGCTCATCTCCGTTTCAAAGCCGAAGAGCCAGCGCTATCCGAAGATGTTTCCATGGTGATGTGGCCAGCATGACTAAACACCAAGGCGCATGGAACGCTGTTACCTTCCCACCGAAGTGGTACCTATTTATCTACTTGCAATTTCTTGCTTTCGAAGTGCTAGGTTGGCAGGAGCTGGAACTAGAGACAGGAGCTCACTCCGTCATGCGGCAGCTCGGGTCTCGAACTGCTGAACTACTGACCTTTCACAGCCTGCAGTTCAGCGTCTTAACCACTTGAGCCACCGCAGCTCCCGATTACAGATTAGGAAAATACAAAATCCGTGCAGAGTAAAATTGGAATTAAAAGAGGGAGGAGTATATATTTATCACTACCTCTCCAGACACAGCTCTTTTGGCCCCATGTCCTCAGGAGACCTGGAATTTATGGAGGGGGCAGAAAACGAAGAAGCTTCCCATGTCTCCCTCACCCCTTCGGGGAATAGACAGCAGGTGATGGGGGAAAGTGCTTGTCACAAACTTTCCCACACCTATTCCAAATGGATAGCTGTATTAGTTGAAACGGCAAAATGAAACAGGAGTCCAGAGGCACCTTACAGACTAAAAGGATTATCCCAGCGTAAACTTTCATGAGTCAGAGTTATCTCCAGATGAAGGAAGCCTCACAAAAGCTTATGCAGGAATAAATTCTGTCACTCTCTAAGGTCCCCCCAGACCCTTGTTTTGTACTCCTCCATGTACAAATCGGTCCAGCCTTGGCTAAGCATTCGGCGGAACCTTCAGGAAGGTTTGTCTGTTAAGCTCCGGGAGATGCCCCTCCCACCTCAGAACCTTCATCCCCCCCACCCATAGACAAGGGGGGAGAGGGGGGCTCCTCTTTTCAACCACCAACGGCAACAGTTTGCGGCTTCGGTTCTCCTTTTGTTTCTCTTCCTCCAGGCAGAGCCCAAGAGCTTGGCAGCCAATCCAGTCCTCCTAGCAACGGTGTCAGGTTTACCTTAGCAACACTCCTACAGCTAGCGACAGCTAGCAGAGACCAGCGAAAGAAAGTGAAGGAGAAGAGATTCCCCCAAAAGCCATGGCAGAGCCTCCGGGCGAACAGCCTGAGGAGGGGGAGAAACCCCAGGAACCGGGCCCAGAGCCCCCCAGGCAGCCCAGCGTTCCCTCTAGCAAATCCCTGCACGGCCTCGCAAGGCAATCTGGCCAAGGACTTCAAGGGCAGACCGGCAGCAGTGAGAAAGGCCTGGAGCCACATCCAAGCCAGGACGAACAGCCAGCCCAGATTCCCCTTCATGATCAGCAGCCAGGTCCACCTCAGCAAGTAAGAGGCAGCATCTACCAGCCCCAGCAACCGAGGTTAAGTGTTTATGAGCAGCAAGAACCAAGAGGGTCCATCTACCAACCACAGCAGGCAAGAGGTAACCTTTTCCAAACCAGGGGTAGTATGCCTCAGCCCCAGGACCAAAGGGTTGGAGCTTATCGGCCACCGACAGGTGTTCAAGACACAGCAGGGGGCACTTCTCAGGATTTTGTGGGTGGCGCATCACAGCCACAGGACCAAAGAGGCAGCTCCCATCAACCTTATCAAGTGCCTTCAGTCAGAAGCACTCAACAGCAATTTGACCCGGGACATGGCCCTTACCAAACCCATGAGCCCGGATTGGGCCTCTACCAGCTTGGAGCTGGCATTTACGAAGATCAGGTTCCAGATCCGGGGCCCAGAGCACTGGCAATTAAGAATGCAAAGGCTTATCTCCTGAAAACAAGCATCAAATCTGGCGTGAGCCTGTAAGTATGGGTAAAGGCATACTCTATAGGTGAAGGGAGCAAAATAAGTTGAAAGGTCTCTTCTAAACAGAATACATAATGTAGAGTTTGACTCCCTCCCCTTTCTGTGTGATTCAAGGCAACATACACAGGATTCATAGGCAGTCTCCCAATTACTACACTCAGAGCTGCTAGCTTCAGCAAGGGTAGTATTAAGTGTACCTTTAGACCATATACTAGGATACCTTTGGATGGCATTACTGAGAAAACAGTCAAAACATGCCTGAACCGTAGGTTGTCAGCCCTGCACCAACAAATGCTGGATGACTTGTGCAGCAGTGCCTGGAGAAGCTGGGGTTTCAGGCGATGTGACATCCTCCATGATGTTCTAGGAATTTCTCTATGGTAAAAACTATAGCAACTGTAGTGATTCCTACAGTGTCACCTGGAAGTGATGTCACATTTTCCAGCCCTACACCCAGAATTGCCATCACTTCCTGGTGATGCTCCAGGAATCCCTATACACTATGGCCTTTATCATAGAGATTGAGATAATTTCTAGTGGCATCTATGCCTCCCCCCTTTTTTTGTCTCCTGCTCCTCAAATCATCAAAGGCAGGAGATTGGGTTTGAGGGCAGGGAATTGCCCAACACAGGTGGACAAATGGCAAGCCTGTTGAACCATGTTGTAGACTGTACAAGATTGCCAGAGAGCAAACTATAATTTATATTACGTGGATTGTGGGAACAATCATTCAAAAGGTTCTAGCCAGTCGCTTTAAAAAGTTGCAGGCTGTGTGCTGGGAGGTGGGAACCATGCAAATAACCCCAACAACAATAAAAACACAAAAGGCTCTTAAAATGATGGATGAAACCTTTCTTTTGTTCATGACTTCAAAAGGAAAGGCAACATTAGCATCCACACTTGGGTATTCTAGCAGGGAAGCACTGAAAGAGGCTTTACAATAACTGGAAAAAAATGTAACTTAAAAAAATGGCAAAATAGCAGGAGCATAGGAAAAATGTGTATTGCTTGTCAATGATGCCACAGGAACTGAACAATTCATATGTGCAACTCAGCATTGGAGAAATGGAAGTAGAACTAGCTCAGGCAGGAAATTGCATTTTCCCCATTTGCTACATTTTGCAAACTAGGAAAACATTATTTCACTTTCTCAAAGGAGGATGCCCCAATGGCTCACAACTCCTGATAATCCACCATGTATTTATTGCTCATAAATATGATTGTCTGTTAAAAGTCTTTTCTGTGTATAATTTATTGTAGTGAGCCAATAACATGTCCACTTGTTTGGGTGGGGCATTTATCTTCAAATTGCTAGGTATGACCATTTTGCTGAAATGTTGGCCAAAATCCTGGAGGAGAGGCCTGAAAACCCAGCAGACATAATTGAGAATATCAGCAAAGATATAAAGTGTGCTCGTTTCCAGAAGAAACTGGACACCCTCCGAGATGAATATGAGAAACTGCCAACATATGAACTGGCTGAAATGTATAAGACTCTTTTCCAGAAGGTTGGTGGAGATGGAGCAGAACAAGAAGTAGAAGAAGAAGCAGTGAGTCCCTAGATATATTTCACTAGATTTCATATTTTTCTGCAAAGCTGTGGTCTGCCCTAGAAAAGTCTGTTCCTGGCTCCAGTGTGTAGATTTTTATCCACATTCTGGAGCCAGGTTCAGGATTAGATATGCAAATATAGAAGAAGCCAGGCATAATTTAAAAACCCTTACATTGCTTCCAAGAAATAGGCTCAGACTTCAGTTAGGGTCAAAACAGGTGAGATGCTGAAAGAACTGTGATTGGCTCTCCCAGCATCCTAGTTTAGATCCCCCGGAATTACAGTTTGTCTCCAGACTACAGAGATCAGTTCTCCTGGAGAAAATGGATGCTTTGGATGGTGGACTCTATGGCACAGTACCCCACTGTCCTCCCCAGGCTCCATCCTCAAACATCCAGGAGTTCCCCAACCTAGATTTGGCAACTGTACTCCACCATCCCCCACTGATGGCCAGGAAGGACCTGGCAACCCTACCTTTAAAGCACAATTGCAGTTAGATGGGTGCTAGAGTGGGAACAGGGAGGAGGATTTAACCCTTCCACCCCCATACATTCATAGCCCATTAAAGGAAAATGACAGGCAAATAGGCCTAATAAAAGTGTATGTGGGAATTCTGTTTAGCAAAACCATGTGAGATGGAAAGACTGTCCCTCCTTCTCCCTTTTCCACACAGCCTCAGTCTGAGTTGGGCCTCTGTGTGGCTGTACACTGGAATCTTCATTATCTCCCCCACATGGTTTTACCAGGGATGCCAGCCTCCAGGTGGGACCTGGGGATCCCCTGGAATTACAGCTCATCTCCAGACTACAGAGATCAGTTCCCCTGGAGAAAATGGATGCTTTGGAGGGTGGACTTTATGCTTTATGAGGTTCCTTCCCAGGCTTCATCCACAAATCTTCAGGAGCTTCCCAGCCTGGGATCTGGCATCCCTACCACCCCATCCCCTGCTGGTGGCCAGGGGGGAGAATAAGTTCTACCCTTATTCTACAGAACCTCTGCAGAGCCTGCCATACTCATCCCGGCCAGTCAAGACTCCCATGCTTGGTACATGTGCTTTCAGCACAAAATGTTCTCTTCCCAAGAAAGCTGACCTTTCATGGGTAAGGGGAGGTCTGTGTTGCAGACACAGGCTAGAAGCATTGGACTTGGGGGGGGGATGGCTCGGCTGTGTGGTGTAAGAAAGAAGGTGGGGGAGAGCTGGAGCAGGGAAGAGGAGAGTCACTGAATCTCTCTGTGCTGGCTTGTTTCTCACTGTAGAGCTTCTCCTGGTGGCCAGCTCAGGCCCATAGCCAGGATTTTTTTAAAAAAATAGAGGGACTTTTTAAGAAATCAGGGGCACTGAAATTTGTTGCCCCCCCCCCCCCTGCTTCTCCTTCAAAGCATTTAAAGGGACTCAAATGCTTTGGAGGAGAAGCAGGGGTCACATGCCTGCACTCCCCCCCCCGCTTCTTCCCAAAAGTCAGGGTGCCTTGGGAGGAAGTCGGGGGGGGGGCCTGGGAGGCCCCACCATAGCTATGGGCCTGGGCCAGCTTGTGTCTCCTGTCCTCAGCTCTCTTGACCTGATCACCACAGTCCTAGCCTTAATGATGTCATTGTTTTAGCTCCTACCATCTGACTAATGCAGATCAGTGGGTCCCATTCTGCCAACTAGGGACTAATGGCAGGTCTAAGATCTGATAATGTTGAAGGCCACTGAATCAGCTCTCAAGGACTTGAGCAGGCTCATTTTCTTCCCTTTTTTTACCTTAAACTGATTCTTAGCTACCCTCGACATCCTGTCCATCCTTGAGCACTTTCCAATCATTTGTAGGGATTTTCCTCTCAAGTTTTCTGTGTATCTGGGGAATCCCCCAAGTTGGTTGAGATCATTACCTTGTTTGTAGGTGCCTCTAGCCCTGTTCACAAGCTACAATGAATTTATTTATTTATTTAAGCTTACTACCCCACTCTAACCCCCTAAGGGGTCTCTGAGCAGCTACAGTTACTCATTTATCCCTAACCTATGGCCACAATTATTAGGGGTGGGGACAATCCCTACCGACACCCAGTGGAGGGGTTTTCTCCCAGGTCGGCTACATCGACTTCGGCGTCACTCAGCTTCTGGCTCCTTTTTCTGGCGGTCTGTCAGTGGCGGATCGGTCCGGGCCCTTCTGTCACGCGGCATGCTCCGGCGCAGCCTTGGCTCAGTCCTCGCGGCCAGGTTGCCAGGTTCCAGGAATGCATGTACAAATTATGTACAGTGTACATTTGATTTTTTTAAAATACATACGCTAATTCTTATGCTACATTAAACACATTTACAGATGAATGTGTGATCGAAACCACACATTTATCCAGGTACTGGTCACTGGTTTCATTTGTAAAGTGAATGTGCATTGGCTCTTTCTTACAGATGTGTGTAAATACATGTAGAATTTACATGTGTTCACTATAATGTGTGAACAGGGTTTCTGTTGTGCAGCTTTTAAAATCTGTGCAGGAGTCAACCACTTTAGGGGGTGTGATTATTTTATTCCGCTATTTTTTCCAATCTAGCTAGAGACACCTCTGCCCAATGTAATGGAGACAGCCTACTACTTTGAACAAGCTGGATTTGGTTTGAGCTTGGAGGAATACTACCACATATTCCTTGCCATTAAACTACTGGTCACCACACACCCACTCCAGAACTGTCGCTTCTGGGGCAAAGTCCTAGGAATAGAGGCAAACTATATTGTTGCTGAGGTGGAGTTCCGTGAGGGAGAGGAAGAAGAAGAGGCAGAGGAGGAAGAAATACCTGAAGAAGTTTTGAAAGAGGGAAGCGAGAGGGAGGAGGAAGATGAAGATGATGAAGAAAAAGATGAGCCACCAAAACCCAACTATAAGCCTCCGCCAATAGTACCAAAAGAAGATAATCGGACTGGGACCAATAAATTCATTTATTTTGTCTGCAACGAACCGGGCAAACCTTGGGTGAAATTACCTCCGGTGACACCTGCACAGATCGTGAATGCCAGGAAAATCAAAAAGTTCTTCACCGGAAAGCTGGATGCTCCCATTGTAAGTTACCCACCTTTCCCAGGCAATGAGGCCAATTACCTGCGGGCCCAGATTGCCCGCATTTCAGCAGCTACCCAGATCAGTCCATTGGGATTTTATCAGTTTGGAGAAGAAGAAGGAGATGAAGAGGAGGAGGGAGGAGCCGGAAGAGACTCATATGAAGAAAATCCAGAATTTGAACCCATTTCTGTGACAGAGTTGGTGGATTCGCTTTCCAACTGGGTGCACCATGTACAGAACATTCTAACGCAGGTATGCTTAATGAAATCTCTGTGGATCTCATAATGGTACCAGAGGCTTCTCAGAACAACAGCAGTATTCTCTGTTGCTTCAGTTTTAAACTATAAAAAATAAAATACTCTCCTATGAAACTTTCTTCATGGTTGAAGGAGCAGAGAACACAGGTGAGGTTCATTGTCTCTGGTTCTCTTTATACTAAATGGTGGTAGAAAGTGTTGCCAGGTTGCAGGAAGCTTACGGTGACCCCTTCTGGGGTTTTTAAGGCAAGAGATGAACAGAGGTGGCTTGCCATTGCCTATCCTCTTTGTAACAATCCTGGACTTTCTTGGTGGTCTCCCATCCAAGTACTAACCCGGGCCAACTATGCTTAGCTTCGAAGATGAGATGAGAGCAGACTAGCCTAGGCTCCTCCAAGTCAGGGCTTGTAATAAATAATAGTATTTTATTTGTTGCATAAGGAGAATGCTACCATGACATTATATATTGCAGTAGCATTCTCCTTATGTGAAAAATACACATATACACTCACACATTTAGACTGCAATTCTTCACCCAGTGCAAGCAGAGCAAGACACTGCTTATAAGAAATCAGCATAGCTGCCTTTTCCCTATGAAAGTACCTCTGCTTATCATGCTATGTGCTATTTCTCAGCAGTTCTCTCTGAAACAAGGCGTCTCCACACTGCATCTTTGCAGGGGTGTCAAACATAAGGTTTGAGGGCCAGAACCAGCCCGTCCAGAGCTCTTATGTGGCCTGTGAGCAACTGGTGCAAGGGAGGGAACAGAAGACTGCTCGGGGGTGGAGCCCCTCCAATTTTGGCTTCGGCATAGTAGAACAACATTGTTTGCAGCAGTCAAGAAGCATGGGAGCGTCTGCCCAGTACTGCACCATTGGCGCTCCAGTCCGCCCATGTGGGGTTTCCTCTACACCCCCCACCCAGCCCAGGGGGCCTTGCAGTGAGGATACACCAACTTGGAGCTTACAAGCTGCTGTCCTTTATACAGTTTATATCTCTGATACCTGGCATTACGTTTTATGGCACACATGGCCTGGCTCAACAAAGTAACACTTATGCCAAATCCGGCCCTTATAACAAATGAATTTGACACCTCTGCTGGAGCATCCAAGCAGCCTGCTCCACCCACATGCCTCTGGTATCGGGCTGTTCTCAGTAGAAGCAGAAGTAGACCCACATACAGAGAAGCAGATCCTTGTAGGAGGGCCACTAGAAACAGTAGCTTCTCCACACCCTGCTCTGGGCGTACGAAGTGCAGAACTGCAGCCAAAGGCTATTATTTAGAGTCAAAAGTCACAGTAGTAATGGAAGAAAACTATGTAATAAACATTCAAGACAAACAGATGCAAAGAGGAGTCAGAGAAAATGGGGAAATTTGTAATAAAACATGCTGGATGAATAGCACTCCTGCATTGGCCACAATTAAGAGCCAAACCTGATGTGAGAGAGGGAATATATGTGCATTCAGTTATGTATCTACCTGCTGCTCACATGTAAAGCAGGGGGCGGGGAGTCAAAATGGAGCATGCAGCTGAGGCGAGCAAAATCCTCCACCTTTTTCCTCTTTATCTCATAATGCTCCGTTAACTAGTTTTATTTCTAGCCTGGTTCACTTCTGGTATGAGAAGCAGGCTGGGAAGAACATGCTTCGAACAACGGAAGGTCCTCAGGTAAGGAGGTGGCAGGGTTTAGCTCCCCTCATCCCCATTCTGTTTTTTTCTGTAGAAAGTAGGTATCCTGCCTGTAATGTATCCGTATTGCCACGTGCGCGTCCGTTGGGCCATGCGGTCGCGCACAAGTCCCGAGCTTCGTTCCAGGAGAACAATAGCAGAGCGGATCCTAGCCCACACCAACCAGAGGGCAAGGTCCGCGGCCGAGAGCCTATGAGACTCTCGGCCACTGTAATGACCTATAGGGTCACTAGGGGGTGTGTTTTGGTGGTGGGTTTCTGGGCATATATACCGGCCTGCGCGCCGGGGTTCCCTGTCTTGTTCTTGATCTAATAAAGTACTTGCTGAATCACTCCACGTTTCCGAGTACTTTTCACTGCCCCAACCCTGTATAAGAACAAGACTATAAATAATGCTTTTTGTGCGCCTTGGTGTTTAGTCATGCCGGCCACATGACCATGGAAACGTCTTCGGACAGCGCTGGCTTTGAAACGGAGATGAGCACCGCAACCTTAGAGTCGGATTCGACTGGCTTTCGAGCAAGGGAACCTTTACCTTTTTACTATAAATAATGTAAATAAATAATATAAATACACGTTTTTCTTCAGTCAAGGCTTGTTTGGCCCTCAAGTAAAGATGTAACCTAATTTCAATTGAGATTTCAGTAAGTATGGACAGGATTACAATCTTCATCTCTCCAAAGGGAAGCAAAGCGGGTCGGGGCCAAACACACAGGCTTCTTCACCGGGCCAAACAGTGCCTCCAGGACTGTTTTAGGTTAGGAAAATGGCACAGGGGAGATAGGTTAAGCCCATATTCTATGCATACTGCAGTCCTAATAATACTTAGATACTGATTGTGTGGGAATTTAGAAGAATCCACAACTAAGCTGAGTTAGTGTGAGCTACCTCACAGTTTTTTAGCTTCTGGCTCACACATTTTTGTCTTAGCTCAGGAAGGATGGCTTCAGAGCAAACTAATTTATGCAGTAGCCAAATCGGCCACTCACAACTTTAATCCCAGTAGCTCACAAAGTAGAATTTTTGCTCACAAGACTCCACAGCTTAGAGGGAGCACTGCATGTCTGACTATTACACAGGGTAGGGACCCTAGAGTACTCTGTAACATATGAATTGGCCCTCATTGACCTAGAAAGGCTTTGGGAGCTAGTCATATTACAGTATGCAATGGCACGGTGTCCCAAAGAGAGTCTTAAAGTTTGTTTAATTGATTACTCTCAAATGGAAACCTGAGTTTATTATAAGCCTCTGGTTTATCCATCTACTAAAAGGATCATTTAGGAGTTGGAGGTTTTTTTTAAAAAAATTGAACCTTGATGGGTTTATGGAAATTGAGGTTTGTGGTGAAGGCTGTCCTTTATTTACCTTAGATTATTGCTCCATCCCAGTCTTCCACTACATCCAGATGTTAATCTAAGCAACTTTAAACTGGGATGTGCATGATCCTGTCTTTGTTGCCAGTCTTGCATGAACGTCTTGTTTCTCTCCTTTCACCCCTACCTTCTCACACGGGGAACCATAGTTAGAAACAATCTCTAGTGACCCATGACACTCAAATGTATGCACACAGATTGACCCACATACACACACAAATCAGGATGCTCAACCTGGATTAAATGCTGGTTTCAAGTCCTAGTTGGGGGCAGGGAAACGAACTCCTCCTAACCCACACACATGTACTTCTCATTCACGGATAACCACAATTAATTTCTAAGCAGGTCTCTCTGCACAAGAAAGGAAGGGGGAAGGAGGACGGCTCACACAAGAGCTCAGCAACAAGCCAAGTTTGTGCACATCCTGTCTTAATGACATTTAGTGGTTTTTGACTGCACCTTCATTGGTCTCTTTGTGCAGAAGACAATTTTAAAATACCGAGCAGTTCATTCAAAGCACCTTGAGAATTCTGCCACGTATCAGTTATTCTCGTTTTCTCCCTCCCACTTCCTTTCCCATAAGGTCCCATCAAGCATGGTTCATATTAGTTGAGGGCCATTGGTCCACCCTGGTGCTGGTTCCCACCAATCTTGTTTTGTAACACTCGGTCCTGGGATGTAGGGACGCTGTACGTGGATCAATCCCCTTCAGAAAGCAGAGGAAGAAGAAGAGGAGGATGAGGAAGAGGAGAAAGAAGAGCAAGAAGAGTCACAGCAAGAAGTAGGACCTCCACTTCTCACTCCACTCTCTGAAGATGCAGGTAGAGGCCATACACTGCATGGTCCTTCATTCTTTATGGACATCACTAATATGAAGTGTTTGGCACTTGGCAAAAGCAGGCATTGGTGTCGGATTAGCTGGTTGTTCAGGGCTGTGTTGATGCATCATCAGATACTATGCAGTTGTTGCACTGCAGCAATCATTTGCACCTGAGTTTTCCAGGTCTGTCAAGACAGTCCAGTTGCAAATGATTGTGGAACAGCAGTGAAATATTCAATGATGTGCCCTGGACTGTATCCACATGGCTCTGGGTATTGCACTACAACAATCATTCACCTTCTAGATCATCCTGTTCACACAGGAAAATCCAGTTACAAATTATTGTTACAGCATAATAACTAACAATGTGTGGATGTTTGTTTTCAGTACCATAGTTAGCCTTGGGAGCTGTACACACACTTTGATGGATATTGCACTATCTATGCATGTTGTTAATCACTTGCAAATGGATTTTCTTGTGGGGTCTAGAGATTCTCGCATCAAGTGATTGCTGTAGAACAATATCCAATGAAGTGTGTGCACAGTCCCTATTAAAGGGGATACTTTCACTTCTTACCACTACCGTTTAATTGGGTTGCAGCCAACTAGCTTTACCCAGTGGTGAAAAATGGAGGAAGGGGTTACCTTAGACTTCCAAAAAGACTGTGCTGGAGATCATGGGACCTGCATGGACAAAAGCCATGTGGAATAGGAGCTATAGTAAGAAAGCGAATTGAGTGAGTTTGAGTGAAAAGCTGGCTAGATCCAACCCATTTTCTGCGGTATAATTTATTTATTTTATTCTATTTGTATCCCGCCCTACCCTGCAAGCGGGCTCAGGGCGGCTCACAACACATCGTAAAACAATCAATAATAATTCATAAAAACATCATGCCACTTCATCAAGATAAAATCCATTAATAACTGATGGCAGCTTAGTAAGCTAGTGTGAAGTGTCTGGAATACTGCAGTGAAAGAATCAAGAGAATATCTTGTTGAGAACACGAGAAACTGCAATTTAAAACACTTGTGAAAGTAGCTGGCAACTGCAGAGTTCAGGGATTGTTATGACTACATGCGGTGACGTCAGAGCCTGGTGTTCAGGCTTTCCAATATAGGGGGCAGTGCCTGTACTCCTTCTAAGAAGGGCAACACAAAAATCGGTTAGAACAATAGATAATGCATTTACAAGTCTAAAAACAACAACACAGGTGGAAGCCTTGAAGCACCCTCAGGGACAGACATTTTTCTCTTCAGTACAATAGCACTTCATTTTAACAGATCTTTAGATAAGAGCCAGATGTTACTCCAAGGAGCCTTCCCATGTATTTCTGTGTTAAAAGGGTAGTTTTCCACTTATATGTTACTGAACATAGGCACACACATGACGCTACATTGGGTCAGACTATTGGTCTGTCAAGATCAGTATCATCTAGTCTGAGTGGCAGTGGCTCTCCAAGGCCTCAGGTGAAGGTCTTTCACATTACCTACAACCTGATTCTTTTGGCTGGAGATGCCAGGGATTGAACCTGGGACCTTATGCATGCGTGCAAAATACAAAGAGTGATTACATATGGAATTCACTGCCACAGGAGGTGGTGGCAGCTACAAGCATGGACAGCTTGAGGGAATTGGATAAACATATAGAGCAGAGGTCCATCAGTGGCTGTTAGCTACAAGGTATAGGTAGGAACTCCCACCTCTGCTTCTCACTTGCCTTTAAAGCTCCTTGTTGGAATCTCCATAAGTTGGTTGCACTGATGGCACTTATGTATATAATGGGTGGGATCCAGCCTGCTTTTTCACTCCATTTCCTTTCTTACTACAGCCCCCATCCCACATGGCTTTTGTCTATGCAGGTCCCATTATCCCCAGCATAGCCTTTTTCACCAGGGGGAAAAGTTGGTTGGATACAGCCAATGGTTATTTACCACTATGTGGTGTCCTCCAGAAGAAAGGTTTCTTAAACCTCCTGTGCTCTAACGACCTTTCACTTAATTTCATGATTCAGCATTGCGGTACAGATTTTTTTAAAAAAAACATTCAATGGATCAACTGACTAACCACTTAAATATGGCATAGCTTTACTAAGAATCAATTTTATTTTTTTTGTTCAAACAGAAATTCAGAATATCACCCCATGGTCATCTGAGGCCTCCACAAGCTTGGTTCCTCAATATGCCATTGCAGTTCTTCAGTCCAACTTGTGGCCTGGAGCATATTCCTTTGCTATTGGCAGGTAGGGAGCAGACACTGCTTTGGTTTCTTGCCTAAGCAGCATATGATACATAATACTTCTGTTATTTGGACTATTTCTTATTTAGAGTTGACCAGTTTCACTGCTGAAACCACTTTGGCCTTCATATTCTTTACTCATTTGCAGAGGTCCCCCATTAAGACTATAATCTGATGCATGCTTAGAAGGGAGTAAGTCTTGCTGGAGTCAAGTCAACGGGCTGACTTCTCACCTAAAGAGGCTGAGAAGTTTAATCCACAAATGATCTTTTGGCTCAAACTATATGAAGGTAACACAATTAGGGATGGGCATGAACCGGCTCATGAACCAAAATTCAGGCTGAACTTGGGCTGGTTCGGAGCTTGGGAACCAATGTTCAGGGCAGGCATCTTCCCTGAACATTTACTGGACTTTTCGCTGGTTCGGCTGTTTGGGGCCAGCCATTTAACCCTTTGGTTTTGCTCCCCCCCCCCCTTCAAAGAGGGGGAAGTAAAACTCAAGGGTTAAATGGCTGCCAGTGGACCTGCTCAGCGGATAGGTTGAATGGCTGTGAGCCATTCAACCCTTTGGTTTCTCTCCCCGCCTTGAAACAGAGGGGAGCAAAACCAAATGATTAAATGACTGGCAGCCATTTAACCCTTCCAGGGCAGTCCCTACCCTCTTTCTCCAGGCTGCAGCTCATCGTGGCCAGGAGAAAGGAGGAACTGAACTCACTGGAACAGCTTGATTCGGTTGGGGACTTTTTGGCTCAGTTCTGGGTTCAGTTCATGGGCTGCCCTGTTAGCCGAATTGCTTTATCTACAGCAATTGGCAAATTTTATACTGGGTGCTTGCCAACTATACCAAGGTCCTGTTCCCACCGAGGGTTACCAGTAAAAGGAGTCGAAGCTGGTGTTGCTAAAATAACTGTCTCTTACTTAAGAAAATATATCACACACAAACAATACTGATGCACTCACACATTCAATCAAGTTCCTTAGAAATACAGTATTAAAATTAAGCACGTTTGCATTAGCAGGTAGAGTTGATGATGGGTGATACTTATCTGTCTTCACAGCTTGGTTGTTCCAATGAAGAATGGATGGGGAGAAATAGAAATCTAAGGGAGTTTAACACACGACTAGAACCAGCCAGCACGTGTGGGCAGTAGAGGCAAGGGTTTGGGTATAGCAAGCTGGACAAAAGGAGTTAAAGCAGACAGGGGCTGTTGCAGGGGAGATGCTAGTTGATCAAGGAGGGAGGGAGGGAGGGAGGGAGAGAGAGAGAGAGAGAGAGAGAGAGAGAGAGAGAGAGAGAGAGAGATACACACACCATGGGTGTGGTTCTCTTCTTTTATCAGAGATCCAGGAGATGGGTGTTGATGGTGCCAACCTCCTGGCCTACCTCCCTGTTAGTCCATCCCAAAAACAATCCTATTGGTTACCTATAGGAGTGGGAGGTTGCCTATAAGGAGTGGTCAATATTGAAATCTAAACCTTACTCAAAGAGGGCCATCTGGTCAGGTGTGAAACCTTGGCGTCTTGAGGCTTCCTTGAAATGTAGATGAAGCTTGGCCATTCCCTTTGTGAAACAAATGTCCATTTGACAGGAAATACCACTGTAGAACAAAGCATGGATGTGTCCTACGGGATCACTACAAGAACTGCAATGGGGGCTGTTTCCTCTCAAGTTGTTGTTTTCTTACTTCTCACAATAATGGAGGTGTGTGTGCTCTTCCACCAGGCTGGTGCTGTGTAGCTGAAACCTCATTCACGTGTAAAGCTTATGCAGGCACCTTCTATGTGTAGCATCACAACAGGTGACTTGTACAGCTTTCTGAGCCTGTGTGTGCGTGTGTGTGCACAGTCCATTGTGTGTGTAGCAATAAACATAGTCCATAAAGCAAATATCAATCTCATTCCTTAACAGCCCTGAACCAAATCACCCTTTTTAGGTTCATGCCCATTGCTAAATACAATTCAACTTCCTTTCCAGACAGCTTTCAGGTTTTTTTCCCTTATGTCAATTACTGATTGGAGAGGATGGAAAAAGCCCTCCACGGGCACAGGGAAGGGGAATAGGGACTAGGGGAAAACTGGAGAAAAATGTGCCAATGTGGGTGGGAATGGGGGGGGGGGGAAGCTTCGCTGTTCACAAGCATCTAACTTGCTTTGAGTGCAATATTTGGGGGAAATGTAGCTAAGTGGATATAGGAAAGACACGTGAGGACCCATGAGACTCATGGGGAGAAGCCCCTCCATTGCCTTCTCTCACTTGTCCTATCCTCCCTTTTTGAATCTCCCTTCTGTTGTTTCCCCTTCCCCTTCCCCCCCCCATCCCCGTGTCCTCCTCTTGGGCTCTGTCATTTCCCCCACTGCCCCACGGACATGTTAGTCAGCCCGCCAGTCCCACAGCCTTGCCCACTCGCTTGCCCTCCAGCCACCTGCCCACCTGCAGTGCCACCTCCTCCACTTGAGGGACTGATGCTATAGTAGGGACAGTGGTAGCTCCCGTTCTTCCTGCCAGCCTCAGCCTGCTTGTACCACTGCACTCTTACTGTTTCCCTCATCTGTCCCCCTTCCCCTCTCCACCACTGTGTGGTGAATGACAACAATGGTGGCAGCTCCTGCCCTCGCCTCTGTCCTTCCCCCTCCCCTACCAGCCTGCAGCCACCACCTCCACCTATCTGGCTCAAGGGGCAGCTCCTCCTCCAATCTGTGTCACATGCAATGAGGTGGGTGGACACTACAGGCCAGAGGGGGAGTGTTGCCTGAGCAAGCACAGACAACATTCCTCAGTTTGAGGGGGGGTATAATGACAAGCCGCCCCAAGCCTCCTCCTCTGGGCACTGAAAACAGCTGTTCTGGCAGGCAGTCAGATGTACTCCCCCCTTTTACTTTTCAAGAGTGAAAGCTTTATCTTCCAAGGCCTTGGCTTCCCACCCTGGGTTGGCTCCGAGGTGTACCCACACTCATGTCAGTGCCTCGAAACTCAGCTTAAATATAAATCAAATTTATTTGCTTAAGGAGTGTTTGTTGCACAGCATAAATCACTCAAATACAGGCAATAAGCATAAATAAACCTTGCTATCTAAAAATCTGCCTCTCTTAAGATGTTAGAATTTATTATCTTAAAGCATCCCAGGATGGCATTCGTTATTCATCTATCTCGCCTGTCCTACAGAGTATGGGGGGCTTCTCCATGCTCAACAGGTGTAGCATGGGGGCATGCCAGGCTGAAAGAATAAAAAGATGATTAGTCTATGTGCATTGAGAAACCCTCTTTTCTAGCCGCACTCAGCAACTCGACAGCCAATCAGAACCAAACAGTTAATTTGCATTTCAGCTGAGAGGGAAAAAAACCTAGGGAGGACAGAACCATCTCCCGGGGTCAACAAAAACTGCTGTACAGGTGCTGATAATCAGCAAAAGAAGCCCTTCTGAGTAAGCCAGAATCCAAGCAACACTTAAGAGTTCTATACCAAAATTCAGCCATCTTATTAGAACCTGGAATTTAAGCTATCAAGTTCATTACAGGGGGGTGTTTAAACACACTTTTTGAACTTTCACAATTTATTTATTTTTTTGCAAACCTGGTGGGGGTCCCCAGAAAATTGTCCCTTCTCTCTACATGGCCCTGATATGCAGACGTAAATATTTCCAGATGGGTGATGTTGAGAATTGGGTATCTTGACTGCAACACAGCAAGGGATGAGCCAGAAGGTGCATGAATGTACCACAATGCCAGGTGAAAGCTCTAAAAAAAAACACTGCTGGAGTGTTAGACCCTAGCTAGACAAAAATACCTGTCTGGGACTGACTCAACCAGCAGAAGATCCCCATCCTTGGCATTCCCCCCCCCCCATTTCTATTACTGTTCCTCAGCTGCAGTCCTAAAGATACTTTCCTGGGAGTAATCCCCATTGAATAACATGGTATTTACTTGTGAGATGACCTTCTGAGGATTGCTCCCCTCTTCCCCAGGTTCCTCCTATAGGCTTTCTTGTTCTAATGTGAGTTGTTATGGCTAGAATGAGTAGGCTGAGAAACTGTGGGAGAGGGTTATTGTTGTATCATGACAAGGACAGACGACTGAATAAAAATCTTTTAACTCCTCTTTGGGAGAACACGGCAGCCATCATAGCGGGCTGTCTAAATTACAGACTTGGTCTAATTGGGGGAGTGTGGCACAATCTCATTGTGAGTGTTCCCAGTCCTTTTGCCTGGGTGCCACTTAAAGGACAGGGAAATGCAACAGTGTGATTTATTAAGCGTTCCAGGCAGAGAAGACGTGGAGGCTCAAGGTTTTGGCATCAGCCTGATCATGCAGATTCACTTGAATCTTGAAAGAAGTTAAACTGGGGTTTCCCTTTAAGTTAATTTTTTAACACCATTCCCCTTTTTCCTGTAGGAGATTCGATAACATCTATATTGGTTGGGGTCATAAATACAGTCCAGTCAACTACACCCCTCCAGAACTACCTCCAGTGCAGACTGAGTACCCCAGTGGACCAGAAATCTCAGAAACGGCTGATCCGACTGTGGAAGAAGAGATGGCACTCAAGGCTGCACAGGAGGAGGCTTTGGCTGTGGAAGAGATGGAAGAGGAAGAGGAAGAAGATGAAGATGAGGACGATTAAACTGCAAAGAACTAGATGCATTGTAGTATCCCCCCCCCAAGAATTCATTGAGTTTTCTATTAATGTACTAGCATAAGCACAGTATAATAAATATTTACTTATTAAGTTCATTGCAAGGAGGTGTTTCGTAGCTGACGCATCGTTATATATTAGCCCTTTGGGCTGTGGTCACAGGGAGATGATTCCTCATTGCGCACTCACTGCCACTGCCAACTGCAAAGGCATCCACCAGCAGCAATGGACCATCCATATGGAGGGGGGGATTCCCCCTCAGGCGTGCCATCCCCCCATGACCCCAGAGGGCTTTTTGCCATTTTTTAAAAATCAGTAGTAACTATATCAGTGTAATATGATGACTCCCTGAGTAGCAACCATCATTTTCTTTTTTTAAAAAGCTAGCAAAATGCCTGCCAGTGGTGTGAGGAAACGTTGCCCAGCAGAACTGTTCTGTGTGCAATCTTTAGGACAAGATAGTAGCAAAGCTACTAGCCCAGGCCGATCAACTCCATTTCGGAACATTGAACTGTTTGATCAGAATTTGCTCCAGACATTCTAAATCTTCAGTTTCCGTAATGACCAGCTAAAAGACCATGGTTAAGCAGCCCTGCGGGTCCCGAAGTAAAATCCAAATATCAGACCACAACACCTTTTCTTGAAGAGAAGAACAGGCCACTGACTTGCTCTCAGGGCCAGCAGTAGCATACCCCAAGGTAGGGCAGGTGCCAGGGCTTCTGGTGGGACCCACTGCCACTGACTCGCACCCACACCCCTCCCCTGCCACTTGTCTGTACCCATGCTCCCAGTTGCCCAGAGTCATTGAGGAAGGGCATGTGGGTGGTTCACAGTAGTGGCCATGGCAGTAGCACTCCCGGCTGCAGACACTGGCCAGTGCTGATGGGGAAAGGGTGTGCAGGTGTCGCAGGTAGGGTTGCCAAGTCTGGCAAACTTACCGGCGGGGGAGGCTCCGATGAGGTCGGGAGCAGGCTCCATATGCGCGCGCGCCACCGCCACGTCACCAAAAGTGACGTGCGACGTTGCTGATGTTGGGGGCGTGGCCGAGCTCGTGGGGGGGGAAACCATATGGTTCCCCCCCCGACGAGCTCGGCCACGCCCCCAATGTCAGCAATGTGGCAGCTTTGGGGGGCGGAGTTCCCCCAAAGCAGGGGTTTCCCCAAAGCAGGGGTTTCCCCGCCCCCATTTGGCAACCCTAGTTGCAGGTGACAGAGCATGGGTGGGGGCAGGATTTGCAAGGAGGAGGAGGAAGCACAGGCAGCTGGGGGCATGCAGGTGTGGGGGTGGGAAAAGAGAGCATGAAAGAGGCCCTGGTGGTGGGCAGATGGGGGGGGCTGGGGGATATATGCTCAGAGCCCTCCAATACTTGGAACCGGCCCTGGTTGCAGTACATTTAAGTACCTGCTTCAGGCTACAAATGTTACATCACTTTCCAGAGAGTGCCATTGACCTTTGCTAGCCTTACTCCTCAATGAACGTGACTGGATGCAGGGCTGCTCTACGATGCACCTTTACTTGGGACTGAGGTGGACTGAATTCGAAACAATAAGACAGTCTTGTGGCATCTTAAAGACTACCAGATATGTTGAGGCATCCGCCATCATGAGTCAGAGCCATGTCATGGAATGTATAACATCTTACATTGGCAGAGAGATGTATTCAGAGGGCTAACAGCAGAAGGAGGCAGGGATGGAAGAAAGAAGAAGAGTTGGTTTTTATATCCCATCTTTTTCTACTCTAAGGAGTCTCAAAGCAGCTTACAATTGCCTTCCCCTCCTCTCTCCACAACAGGCACCTTGTGGGGTAGGTGGGGCCGAGAGACTTCTGGGAGAGCTTCATGTGGAGGAGGGGTGGGGAATCAAACCCAATTCTCCAGATTTGAGTCCACCACTCTTAACCTTTATTTACGAGCTATTTACAATGAGAGGCCTGCTTTCCTAGGGGAAAAGATGTTCTATTATGTTGTAGAGCAAACTAGATGTACATTACGCTTTTTTTTAATGTGATCTTCCTGCAAGCGTGTTGCCAGACACTTAATCTCATCCTGCTTTTATTTTTATCTATTTAAAGCATTTCTATGCCACCTTGCTACCTAAATAGCATCCCCAAGGCAGCAAACATGAAACATTAAAATATGACATTAAAAGTATTTAAAATAGTGTGTGTGTGTGTGTGTGTGTATGTAAAAGAATTCAATGAAGACATGTAAATACACATAACACCAGAAACCAATGTTCGTTATCAGGAGCATGCCAAGAAAAACAAAGTCATCACCTGCTGGCAGATGAAAACAATAGAGGGCAGCAGACAAATATCCCTGTGGAGGGAATTCCAAAGTTTTGGCACCACACCCAAGAAGCTCCTTTCTCAGGTTGTCACCTGCCTAGCCTTAGATGACAGGGGCATCCAAAAATGACAATAGTGGATGGGTGGATTCTTATGGGAGAAATCAGTCCTTATCCTCAGCAGGTTATTACAATGTTGTCAACAGGATGGGAACAAACCTGGGGAAAGGCAAAACTACCCAATTTGGCTTCAATTGACTATACCTTGTACACCATTTTAAATTTAGAATCATAGAGTTGGAAGGGATCTCCAGGGTCATCTAGTCCAACCCCCTGCACAATGCAGAAAATTCACAAATACCTCCCCCTCCACACCCCCAGTGACCACTGTTTCATGCCCAGAGGATGACAAAAACCTACAGGACCTCCAGCCAAATTGGCCTGGAGAAAAATTGCTTCCTGACCCCAATGTAATCTCAGGCAGGGTTAATATAGGTAAAGGTAAAGGTTCCCTTGCTTGAAAGCCAGTCAAATCTGACTCTAGGGTTGCGGTGCTCATCTCCGTTTCAAAGCTGAAGAGCCAGCGCTGCCCGAAGACGTTTCCGTGGTCATGTGGCCGGCATGACTAAACACCAAGGCACACGGAACACTGTTACCTTCCCACGGAACGCTGTTACCTTCCCACTTGCAATTTCTTGCTTTCGAACTGCTAGGTTGGCAGGAGCTGGAACTAGAGATGGGAGCTCACTCCGTCATGCAGCACACTCGGGTCTCAAACTGCTGAACTACTGACCTTCCACAGCCTGCAGTTCAGCGTCTTAACCACTTGAGCCACCGCAGCTCCGAGGGTTAATGTAAAGACTACCAAATGTTTCCTTCTGCTCTCAGCCCTTGAAGAGAATTGTTGTTTGTCACCTGGGTTTTATAAGTGACCTCTAAACTTTGCTGGTGTTTTCTCTTTCCAATAAGGTGACCCTCCATTGATTAGTTCTCCTTCCCAGGTTGCAAATGTGGTAATCTAACATCAACAGCAATTCAAAATGGGCCAGGCACACACAACATCTATGCCAAATTTTGGCATGACCAGGTCTTCTGATCTTTACCTAAAAATCTGCTTTTCCTCCCTCCCAATTTTTTTTTTAATTGTAACTCCTGGCCTGTGAGATTCATCTTGTTATTTTAAGAATGAGATGCTTTATGTTTTTCCTTCTATTGAAATGAGGCATTTCTTTACCAGGGAACATATAAGGATCTATTTTCACAATAAGAAAGCCAGTGCGGAGTAGTGGTTAAGAGTGTTGGACTAGTTACCTGGGACACCTGGGTTTTGATGTCTACTCGTGCCATGGAAGCTTGCTGAGTGACCTTAGACCAGTCACTCACTCTTTGGGATGTTTGAGTCCAGAGGCACCTTTAAGACCAACAAAGTTTTATTCAAGATATAAGCTTTCATGGGGGCACTCACTTCTTCAGACAGAAAGGTAAACTACCAGTCCATGCATAGGGGTAGATGGGTGAGCAGTAAATCAGCATACAGCATTATGAAGATGTTTAACAGATTCAAGGACCAAACAGGAATATCAAGCTTAGTTTATATGGTTACCATTTGTTTGGGTTTAATTCCGTGGCGGGGAACCACATCGTGAAGGAAATAAATATGTCGGGCAGCTGTATCCTTAATTGTGGAATGCTGAGAGTAATTAACTGAGACCCTGCCATTACGTTCCATCCGTCTGCGCTCAAGCATGGAAGGTAATGAGAGGGTCAAAGGCTTTTTGTTTGTTTTTGACAAAATCCAAACATTTTCAGAGGAAAAAAGGCAAAACATCTTCCACGCAACAGAACCTGCAGCACCACGGCCCTAGATTCCCCCTTCGAAGCGGCGCTATAAAGCAGTTTTCAGGCTAGCAAACAACCCCCCCCCCCCCCCCCCCCCCCAAAAAAAAAACAATACCCTAGAAAGCGCCGTCTGCAAATTTGGTCCTCTTGATATTTTTCTAACCCTATGCAGGAAAGCTGCGGATCCTAGTAGGAAGGACCCACCTCTTTAACCGTATCAACACTATTGGTTTTTTAAAAAAAAAAAACAACTGAACCCCGCGTTACCAATACTTAGACTCTTCTGTTGTGTCCCAATACGCCTGCGACCAGCGGTACCTTTAAGAGACCGACTCTCGGGGGACTGTGAAATTCTCTCCATACCAGCCACGATAGTAGTGCGGTCAGCTGGGAGGGGCGGGAAGTACGGAGAGCGACCAATAGGAAAGGCTCTTGCTCGAAATTCAAATACTGGAACAGAAGCCCTGCTGGAGGGAGGCTGCGAGAGGCCGGTGAAATGGCCGACGACGGAGCCGTGACGGTCTGCGTGCGGGTGCGGCCGCTTATCGAAAGGTACCTTTCTGGTTGCGGCGGGGGGGGGGGGGGCTGTTTCTCTGTTTTTGTTAGGTTGTCTCTTGGAGGCCTTCCCTGTTCTCCTGGTTGGGATTAAGCCCCACTGTGGTCCGTGGGTTTGGCTCCTGGTTAAGGGCATTGGGCTATGGGAGCTTGTTCTCTCTGTGCTTTTTCCCAAGCTCGCTCATAGGCTGCAGGTATCTCGGGCGCCCCTTTTTAAAGCTTGTCCAGAGCGCTGTAGAAACCTGTCCGTTTGCCTTCCTTTTATTCTCTTCAGCTTCCGGTTTGACGTTGCATGGGAAGTTTGCATGTCCCCATGGCTTCTTGGAGGTCTGGGAAATGGGGGAGCGGGAGAGAAGAGGCATGAGGGTACCAAAAGGGAATTTCTCTCGTTAATAGAATGAATTGCCGGACACTTCAGATGACATTCTGTGTGCGTGTTTAATATGAGGGTGGAGATAGAGGGGTGGTATTTGTAAGACGGCTCTGTCCAAGACTTCAGGGTTGTTGGGCTGCTAAATAAAGAAAATGAAATATCACCGGCTAAAATGCTCCACTACTATGATACTTTACCTCCAGGTGGTTCATGGAGATCTCCTGGGATTACAACTGATCTCCAGGAGATGGAGATCAGCTCACCTGGAGAAAATGGCCACTTGGGAAGGTGGACTCCTAGGGCCTTATACCCCATTGAAGTCCTGCCCCTTCCCATGCCAGGCCTTCCTAAGGCTCCACCTCCAAAATCTCCAGCTGTTTCCCCGCATGAAGCTGGCAACCCTATCCACTGCTGTGTCTTCTAGAGGGCAAACATATATCTAAATGGTATTCATCCACATACTGAGGAGCAGAACCATTTGTATGTGCTCATAAATAGTTAATCTGTGTTAACTTTTTTGATAGTTATGGTTTATCAAAATTGTTGTCTAAGAAAAACACTCCTTATGTGGTTAGAGGTACTCTGTCCCTAGTTTTGTTTTTTTTGTTTTTTTTGGTAAAGATTTTATTAGTTCCCCTAAAAAGGGGAGGTATTTCGCTTAAAAGAAAAAAATGGGAAGGGTAGACAGCGGGAGAAAGAGAAAGCTGAGTGATATATAAACTGGTAAATTAAACTGTTAGTAATGTCCAATTAATCTTCTTGGGCTTCTTCTGTGTGTTGTCAAACTTCTTTTCTTAGTTCAGTCACATATAATTCTCTGTTAATATGTTAGTAATGTTCCCTTGAATTTCTGTTAATGTTCCCTTGAGTTCCCTTGAGTTTCTGTTAATAAAAAAAGAAAAATCTCTTCTGGACACAGTCAGAACCGCTTCTTTGCGTGCTGGGCACTTTTACTATCGCTGACGTGCAGGGGCTTCCTCTGTTGTCTTCTACTTCCGGCTTGTTAAATCCTCCTTCGGGTTGCTGTTAACATACTCAGTTCATGCACTATAAATCCTCTTCCTTTCATGCCTTGGAGGTCCCCAACTTTGAGAATGGTATTAATTTCATTTCGCTTTTATTTCCGCTCCCAAACTCTCTATTGGGTCCTCCTCGAAACTGGACGTATATAAGCGCTTGCCAGGCACTCCTCGCTGTCACAGTTCAAACTTTTCCATTTTACAAAACTCCCGTCGGATTCACAACCATAAACAATCCAAAACACTAAACAGCCGGCTCTCACACACAAGCAAACGCCCAGACGGAAGTCCCTCCCTTCTCTCCGCTCGTTTTTGCCCAGCTCCGACATCTTTTCTTTTTTGTTTACTTTTAGAAAGTTCTTAAATTGTGCTCCAGAGAGACAAAACTTTCTCTCGCTTTATTTCAAATACATCAAGGGAAAACATCACTGTTCGCTCAGTCCATTCCCCCCCTCCTTTTCTTTTTCGCTTATGCAGTTAGAGGGTTAACCTCCTCGCCTTTTTCGCTGGGTGGGGGGGAAGCGGTTTTAGATCTTTTTCTTTGCATTTTGACAACTCACAGTTAGGCCGATCTTTTCTTTTTCAACTTTTTCGGATGATCGCTTTATCACTCGGTGACGTCTGGTGGCTCCGCTAAACCCCGTAAAACGGGATCGCTCACGCAGCAAGGTCCAAAGGGGCAGGGCATGGCGGGCGCCTCGTCTCCAACCTCTCGGCTGAGAGCGAGACTCCCCCCTCGAGCGCCCTAAAGCGCCCCGGATCCGAGCTCCTCACATCCTGAGGGGCTCGTTCGGGTCTCCGCTCGCGCGGATTCCCTCCTCCACCGCGGGCGGGCGAGACGCCCCTCGGGAGCGACCCAAAGATGCGTCCGCCTTTCGCGGGAGCCAGACCGGAAGCCTGTCCCTAGTTATTTTATAAGCCAAGGTAAATTGAGTGAGGTGCATGTTCCCAGAACACTAATAGTTGAAATCTGTCAACAGTAACATGTATTCTTATGGGAGGGGCTGTGGGTCATTGGGAGAGCATCTGCTTTGCATACAGAAGGTGCCAAGTTCGATCCCCGGTATCTCAAGAGGATCCAGTTGCAGATAACATGAAAGGCCTCTACCTAAGACTGTGGAGAGCTGCTGTCAGTCTGAGTGGACAATAATGACCATGAAGGACTAAGGGTCTGATTCAGTTTAAGGTGGTTTTATGTGTGGCCATGAAATTTGCCAACAGTATTGTGTATTCTTTGGTCTGAGCAGCCAGGAGATGTGGTGGGTCTTTCCCCACCACTTTTACTGAAATAATATAAGTGTAATTTATCTGTTCCTTAAGAGAGAATGCAGAGCTGGGAGGTAAAGAAAGTATGGTCTGGAAAAGTGAGAAATGCAGCATCTCTCAAGTGGATGGAACAAAGTCCTTCACATTTGGTAAGCTCTTGACAGTTGTTAAAACACTCAAACCACTGGCAGGTAGGAGAAGGGTGATCTGCCATGTTGGTAAGGATAGGGCTTTGTCATTACCTTGCCTTTCCAACACCTTCCCCACCCAATTCAAGTGGGAAGGGAAAGGGACAGGATCCAGCCAACAATAGAAGGCTTTCTGTCTAGAAAATCATTGTTGAATTATCCCGATTTTGTCGCTCCCAATGAGATCCTTGTCCTTCTAGAAGCAGCCAAAGCAGTTCAACAAGCCTTGTTCAGCTCTGTAGTGTTGGAGTGTCCTTCTTGGTGCCTCTAAAACTATGTTTTTTAGTTTGCTTCTACTGGGGGTAGTGGGGAACATTATAGTACTTGTTCTTTGTACTAGAAGCAGAGACACTGGTACCTCTCCTTTCCCCTTCAGCGCCCAGCACTTTTAGGAGTGTTTTCAGCTGAGAGGCAGAGCAAGGATACCCCTGCCTCTGTCACTGTGCTTCTATAGGAAGCCAAGATGTAAAATGTTCATAAAATTGTGGGCTTACTATAGGAACTGGAGCAAATACTGTTTGCCTCTGTGTGGTTGCTGCTCTTCTAGTGGTGTTGTGTGCCCATGTGGTGTTGAATTGGACTTGGCATCTTGCATTTGTAGTGTGCTTATCTGATGGTGGGGCTAGCTGAGAAGGCAGCTTGATGTGTATATTAACCTTAACAATAGCCATTTCTCATGCAGATGATTCCAGGCTCATTGGGTCTCAAGCCATTCATTCTTTGGCCTCTGTTGAGTAGCAAGTGCTGAGAGTTGCCTTTCTCTGCCTGAGATGCTGCAGAGCTACTGCCCATCAGAACAGACAATACTGAGGAGGATGGGTTTGACTAGCCATTGGCCAGTTTGGTGTAGTGGTTAAGTGTGCGGACTCTTATCTGGGAGAACCAGGTTTGATTCCCCACTCCTCCACTTGCACCTGCTGATGTGACCTTGGGTCAGTCACAAGCTCTAGCACAGCTGTCCTTGAAAAAGAGCAGTTTGTGTCAGAGTTCTCTCAGCCCCACCCACCTCACAGGGTGTCTGTTGTGGGGAGGGGAAGGGAAAGGAGTTTGTAAGCCGCTCTGAGACTCCAAGTGAAGGGCGGGGTATAAATCCAATCTCTTCTTCTTCTTCTTCTAAGTACAAATGGAATAAAAGCCAGTGTGCCCTGGCCGTCTTTTTGGGGCCATCTTTTTGGCCTTGAAGCATCGGGGACAGGGGTTGTAACATCTTAGGCACATATTGGTGTCTTACAAGTTCAAGTCTGATAACCAGAATATATATGTAGCTCGCTCTTTATTGGTTGTGAGAGATATACTTGTACAAAGAATAGCTGTCCAGTGTTTAAAATCTTGTAAAATAATCAAAAGAAATGGCTTTACTATGTTGAAGGTACAATGGAGAGTGGGGGGGAGCAGTTAGATGGTCAGACCAGGGCCTGGAAGACCCGGGTTTGAATCCCCACTGTTGTAGGGATGTTTACTGGGTGGTCTTGGGCCAGGCATGCTATCTCAGCCTAACCAACCTCACTGCGTTATTAGGCTAAAATGAAGGGAAAAGCAACAATATAAACTGTTTTGGGCCCCTGTTGGGGAGAAAGGCAGGGTATAAATTAAGTAAACAATAATAGGTTTGGCAATTTAGCAGACTGGGGGTAGAATCTGATTTTCTTTGAGCCTAACCCTTCGTCTCCCTCTTCCTCTCCCAAAGATCGAGTATTTCATCCGGAAGAAAATACTGCTGAGGTTTATAAAGAGGTGGCTGATCCAATTATAAAATCTGCTGTTCAAGGATATAATGGTATCTTTTAAATATCTGTTCATGTGCATAATTGCAGTCTTCGTGAGTACTGGTTGGCACTAACTGTTATGAATCCTCCGTAGGCACTATTTTTGCATATGGCCAGACTGCTTCCGGCAAGACCTATACAATGTTGGGAACAAAGAGTTCCCCAGGAATTTTACCCATGGCAATTGAAGATGTCTTCAAGACAATCTGTGGTGTAAGTCGTTTTGCTACATTTCATCTCTCGGGTACCAAAATCATGTTGCAAACCCATCTGTTCTGAGTGCTTTAGAGTTTCCTCTTCCGGTGTTGCCATGGAGGACCTCTCCTGCCTGCTGCTCACTTTTCCTCTCTCCTGTAACTTCCCACTCCTGGATGAGTTAGAGGCTGCTATTAGGTTTGCTTGCTTCCCTAAAACAAGCTGCTTGAGAACCGAGAAAATATGAAACCAAAGTTGTAGATGAAAAGGCAGGTGGGGCATTTCAATGAAGGTCTTGTATAGTGTTGAACATCCCATGGTGTACTGGTCTGTGCCTTCTTAATTTCTTGTGTGTTTTTTTTTTTTTTTAGGTTCCAGATAGGGAGTTCTTACTCCGGATCTCGTATATGGAAATTCATAACGAGACAATAAAAGACCTGCTATGTAGTAACATCAGAAAGAAAAAACCTCTTGTAGTCCGGGAAGACATCAGTGTAAGTAAATAAAGTTGCATAACTCCTGGATGGCAAGGAAATCATTTAAGTTCTTACAGGCCCATGTAAGTTGGAAGGCAAAATGCTGGTCCTCCTGTACTGTTGTGTATCTTTCGGTCTGACTAGACCAGTGATGGCGAACCTTTTAGAGACCGAGTGCCCAAACTGCGACCCAAAACCCACTTATTTATTGAAAAGTGCCAACACACCTGAATACTGAGGTTTTACTTTAGAAAAAACAACGCCTACATTAACTTAAGATGATCCAAACAAAGGAAGGAAAGCAATCCCAAATGCTTTCATTTACTTAAAATTATTTGGCAGAGAATTCGACACTTTAAGGATGGTCTGGGCCTGGCTGGGGCGATGGCACGTGTGCCCACAGAGAGGGCTCTGAGTGCCACCTCTGGCACCCGTGCCATAGGTTCGCCACCACTGGACTAGACCATGCTTCTGCACTTGAAACTCTTTGTTTAAAATAGGGGGTTGCACCACTGATGGTCTCCCAGTCATACAAAATGCTTGTTCTGTATGGCATAGAATGAACTGGTGCTAAACTTAATCACCTGAGTTTATATCAATGAGATTAGCATAACTGGTACCAGCAACTCTGAGAACAATCACAGGTAGGATCTCAAGGACCATGCAGCACATTTCTAGTTGTTACACTGCTGTCATGTCTGTTGGCTGAGGTCATCTCTACCTTTGAAGATTAGGCGAGTGGCTTCATGGCTGTGTCCCACATAAGAAAATAACAAAGGGAAGTTTGCCGTGTGCTCCCTTTGTCTAGGTGCTGGCTAAAATCTATCCCCTTTTCTCCCAAGTGTTTGGGTATTCATTTTTTTCTCTGTCTTTTGTGGTTTCTTAATTGTATGTGAGTTGACATTTGAAGGATGTTGTTGAATATTGCTGCTATGCTATAACTTAAGATTTACTTGTTACATATTTGGTTAGGTTTTTATTGAGACTGGCACAGAATGCCTATAGGGTAAGAAGGCTGCTCTTCAGTTTGTTGAAATAAAGGAGGCAGTGGGATTGTATTTCTCAGAGCAGCAGTTCCCCGTGCCACAGGGCAAACCTCACATGAGGATGGGTCTATTCCTCAAAGGAAGAAAGTTTATTTTTGTCCTAGTGGGCATGCCCAAAGCACTTCTCTTAGATCCCAGCATCAGTTCTCACTGTTTTCCTTGCAAAGTTTCCTTCAGTTACCTGTTATCAGACACCAAATCCAGTTATTTTTAAAAAGAGACACTTGCTACTTGCTGTAAAAACAGTGGTAAAGCAGTTGAGAAGATTGTGTGCATGTAATAATACAAGAATATTCTGACTTTGACATTCTCTTGTAGAGGAACATCTATGTGGAAGATCTGAGTGAAGAGGTGGTGATTTCTCCAGAGCACGTTATGAGCTGGCTAAAAAAAGGCGAAAGTAAGATTTCATGTCTCGAGTGGCTGAACACTATTCTGAAACCCATTTATACAAGTGTTGCACCTTATACTAATTAGTATATCTATTTCAACATGTGATTTTCTTGGTTTTTAAACAGAAAATAGACACTATGGGGAGACAAAGATGAATGCAAGAAGCAGCCGTTCCCATACGATCTTCAGAATGGTAATCTATCCTGGTGGCTGTTCAGCATGTTGTAAACTTACTTTTTTTTCACTAAGGGGGAATCAAGCTGGGGGTATATAGATTGGGTTGGGACTCGGTAGTTCCCATTGAATCTATGGGCTAGCTGAAAAAAAGTAATACTTGACCCTTGGTCCTGATTCTCTACATGGTGACCCCACTCCCTGTCATGTGTCCCAAGGTATCTACAGGTTCAGAGGTTGGGGACCTCTGTTCTGGGGTGCTTGAGAAGCTGGCTTGGCTTCCATCCCAGCATGGCTGAACACAGCCTATATAACATGCTGTAATTTGATCATGGATGGTGGGAGAGTTCTACACTTGATGACAGTGTTGCGCTGAGTGTCCCACTGACTTTCAGTAGGGAACCTGGTCGTGTGGGGGGGGGTGATGACAGTGTTGCGCTGAGTGTCCCACGGACTTTCAGTAAGGAACTTGGTCTTGTGGGCGGTGGGGGGTGGTGTACACACATATTACAGTTCTGGAATACATCGACCCTCGCTCCCACCCATGCTTTCATAACTGTAGGTGTTCTGCTAAGTTACCCCAAGTCACTGCTTTGTTCTGTTTCTTTTGAAGATAATCGAAAGCAAAGAAAAGAGTGATGCATCCAATTCAAACTGTGATGGTGCTGTCATGGTCTCTCACTTGGTGAGTTTTTGAAAAAGAGCATTAAAGTTCTGAGTGGGCTTGGATATGGCAGCGGTTCATAATTTGTACATTACGAGATCCCTGAAAAATCCTAGTCTGCCACTTTTGAGTTTGCTTCAAACACAGAAGGAAGGGGGGGAGTGTAAATTCAGAATGGTGCAGTCATGAATCTTGCCTATATCTGTGACTGTTGCTCTAGGTTATTGTCAGTCTGACACACCAATCCTAAGTATAGATCCAGGTGGCCAGCCATGTTGGTCTGAAGCAGTAGAACAACTTTAGAGACCACTGGCACCTTTAAGACCAATGTATTTGGAAAAAGTGGTCGTGAACATGAAAGCTCATACCTTGAATAAAACTTTGTTGGTCTTAAAGGTGATGCTGGACTCTAAATCTGTTCCAATCCTATGTCCACTTTGGAAACAGTTCTGCTAACGTCACAGGAACTTGGCTCTGAATAAAGTGTGCCTAGGAGTGCAGACACATCAACCTTTAAGGAGGTGTATTGCAAAATTCACAACACCTTTGCCTGCAAACTGAAGTCATGCTATCAAAATAAACAGCATGTTGGATCTCTCCACTTCTTCCTGAAAACCCAGTCTTCCCTTGCAGTCTGAAGCTTTGCTGAAGTCTGCCTTTGTTTCTTCCATGTTGGTTTTTAAATATTATCTGTCATGATGGGAGGGGAGATTATTGTATTCCAAATAGCAAAGTTAATGACTAGAACTGTACAACTTTCTTCCAGTCTTGCGACTTCAGCTCCTGCTTAGGGTTCCTTTCCTTTCTAATCACTCTCACCCCTGGGTTGTGCTGGTGGCAGCAAGAAACTTCCTTGTTGATTAAAAGGGGGAGGGGGTGCCTAGGTATAGGCCATCTAAACAGGGATGTGAAAGGGGCCTGGAGGAAGTTTCTGAGCTGCTCACAGAAACAGAAGAAGGCCAGCATCACACACAACTTGAACTTAATGGAACTCAGTTGAAAGCCACAGTTTGCTATCATCTCGGGATGCACATGATATCTCTCTGTATGCTGAAGTACTTTGCCTTGGAATATAGAGTGGACTCCTGTTTTATACCGAAGGCAGCTATGATGGCTGCATTTGGATTCCACCTTTGTGCCTCTCAACCAATAAGGGCCAGGCTGTTGGGTCCCAGCAGCCAATCAGTGTGTGTTTCTCTCTAGCATTCTTAAAGGGATCTGGAAGGCAGGTCATCGTCAGCAGTGACAGTCCTCTTAAGTTCCTGCCCCTTAAAAGAGGGAAGCAGATTCTGTCAGCTTCCCTTGAATTGGAGACCCTGTCTCCAGTCCTGGAAAAAGTCTGCTTTTTTATGTTAGCCAGGTGCCCTCTGTCCTTACAAAAGATTTATGGACCCTCTTGGTGTACCTTCTCAAATCCCCAGGGGTCTCCGGAACCCAGTTTGAAAAAACTGTGCTACTGTATAATTTCTTGGGCTTGAGTGTTCTCATTTTGCTGCCATTGTCTGACATGTATTTGGACTAGTGTCTCTAGTAAGTGGTGGAAGCCCGCACTGGAGCTCAGACCTCAGCCTGAGACCCTGGGGAGCTGCTGCTGCTGACAGTACTGACTTTGATGGCCCAAGGGTCTGATTCAGTATAAGGCGACTTCAAGTATTCATCTGAGCCTAACAGTCTCCAATGTCTTTGCAGAACTTGGTAGACCTCGCAGGAAGTGAGAGAGCAAGCCAGACAGGGACCGATGGTACGTACCTGGTCTTCAGCCAGCTTATTTTGAAAGTTTGTATCCATTCCACGTTTGCTAAATAACTTAATTGCGATCTAGATGAACTTTGTTCAGCTTAGGACCCAGCCTAAAAATTTATGACCATAATTACATTCTTGTTTTTAAAAGGTCAATGAATTGAATATTGGACCTAGTGCAGAAGGCAACTGGTTAAGAAATGAAATCATCCACCACTATTGAATACTATAAAGATAAGATTACATACAAACAAGCAATGGCTAGAACTTGAACATTTATTTTTATGTCATACAACAAAATGATCTGATGCAAAATGATAAATAAACTATGGGTTGTACCCAGCCAGCTTTTTGCTCATTCTCAGCCTATTCCTCTCTTTCGTATAGCTCCTGTTCCACATGGCTTTGTCAGTACAGGGTCCCATGATTCCAAACATATTTTTTTCAGTGGTCAAAGGGGAGGAGACCCTTTTCCTCCCTCTTTTTGCCAGAGGAAGAGCTGCTTGGATTCAACTCATAACTCCTGAGCGACACTACAATAAAATCATTGCTTTAAATATTAGGTGCTACGATGAAATTTCTAGGCATCGTGGTGACCTGGTGCCTGGGATTTGTCGAGCCCTGACTTAATTATTACATTTTAATTCCTTTGTTTACCCAGGGCATTCTGGGTTCTATTCTGGTAGTGGTTAAGTGCGCAGACTCTAATCTGGGAGAACCGGATTTGTCTCCCCACTCCTCCACTTGCAGCTGCTGGATGACCTTGGGCAAGCCATAGCTCTGTCAGAGCTGTTCTCTCAAGGACAGTTTTGGAAAGAGCTCTCTCAGCCCCACCTACCTCACAGGGTGTCTGTTGTGGGGAGGGGAAGGGAAAGGAGTTTGTAAACCGCTCTGAGACTCCGAGTGAAGGGCGGGGTATAAATCCAATCTCTTCTTCTTCTATTTGAAGGCCATTTAAGTTTGCAGTGATCCTGGGGGTAGACGGGGCTGAGAGGGTGGTGTTGTGTCACATAGCTTTAGTGTCATGGTGGACTGATACTAGTAAATCATTACACCGTTCCTAAACAAATGGCTATTGCTTGAAATTCTAAAATAATAAACCACTAGCCTTGCGTGTTGGAGTTGTGACTTCGTGTCACAGTACCAAAATGAATGTGAAGGGAGCTGCTGTCAACGCCACTTCAGTCTAGTGATTTTTTTGCTCTTAGGCATTCGACTTAAAGAAGGCTGCAATATAAACCGGAGCTTGTTCATCTTGGCTCAGGTCATCAAGAAACTTTCTGATGATCCGCCTGGGTAAGCACAAGAATAACCTCTTTCACTGTATTAGAAGGGTTTTGCCACTGCTAACAAGTAAACTTGAATTCCTTACTCCTGTGTCTTGTCGTTTTTTAAAAAAAAAACCCAGAGGCTTTATAAATTATCGAGACAGCAAACTGACGAGAATTTTACAGAACTCTCTTGGTGGGAATGCTAAAACTGCTATCATCTGCACAGTTACTCCAGTATCTTTGGAAGAAACGTTAAGCACCTTTCAGGTAACCCTATTTTGGAAAACAGTTCTCAAATTCGTATAGTTAAGAAATTTCTATTCTGTGTTTCTGCACAAGCCACCCCCCTAATATTCTGTCTTACGACTGTTCATCCCCGTTTTTTGTATCTGCCCTGTCTTCTGCTTCCACTAAACCTCTCAGCCATAACTGATCTGATCTGCAGTCATTCAGAACACGAGACTTAAGTGGGCAATAACATGGAGGTGGGATTCTTCTGCCCTTGCAGGTCATCCACTTGCTTAGTTTGTGTCTTCTTGCTTGTGGCAAGGAAAAAGAGAGAGGACTGTATGCAGGAAGGTTTGTGGGGGAGGGTGGTTTCTGCTAATAAGGCTTGCTGATCTTGCTTTGTCTGTTTTTGCCTCTTCTAGTTTGCTAGTACAGCAAAAAAGATGAAAAACAGCCCCAAAGTAAATGAAGTTCTAGATGACGATGCCCTCTTAAAGAGGTACCGACGAGAAATAGAAGATTTAAAGCGGCGCCTAGAGGAGGTTCGCATCAGTTCTTTTCAGAGTTCTAAAACCTGAAGTTCCCAAGCTTCAGAAAAAGACTGCAGGAAGCCGAAATACCTTGTTATCCTGGGTCAACAAACATTTTGCAAAACAGTGAACAGGTGCTCAGGTTTCCCAGAAGTCTTCACAAAGCTGGGTGTTCAGTAAAAGGAGGGTGTGAGGTGGTTTCAGGGCAAGTTGGAGTTAACCTGCTACTCTTCAGCAAAGGCGAGTGGAACGCAGAAAAAAGGCCCCCTTTCCTTTCAGTATATAAAAGCCAGCAGATGTCTTCCCAGCACTAGTTGGATCACACAGGTTCTCTTCTTAAGGCAGAGCGCAGAAGAAAAACATGGTAGAGCTAGAGATTAAAAGCCAAAGTTGATGATATTGATGACATTGACATGGGGTTTAAAATGTAGGTAAGGATGCTAAACCCCCCCCCCTTTCTCTCTCCCCTTGCATACATGCAGTGTCTCAAAAAGCGTACATAACTTTAAACTCATCCTGCATTAGTGGAGTAGCTTTCAGTCTGCAGCTTGTAGTATTTTAAACTTGAATACAGGATATGTTGCAACCTGTTGCAGTTTTGTGGCTGGCAGGGTCAGTTGTCTTCGCCTCCCGTTAATTCTTGCAATGCAAGTTGGGAGCCTTCTTGATCAACCCATTAACGTGAGGTGCCTTCCCTTAGAGATCAAGGACAGCTGAATTAGTAGAATCAAATTCAGCCAGGGATGTCATACAAAAACACTTTGGGGCAGTGCAAACAAGACATTGAAAATGGGGTGATGGTGGTGTTAAGTGTTTTTAAAAGTCCAGCCTTTTGATGGACTGAGTCACTTGGTTATTTACACTCTCTTGGTTAAATGTATATTTTTAGCATGCACTATACATATAATTTACAGGTTTCTTCAGACTCTCACACCAGAGATGAAGAGAAAGACCAGCTCGCCCAGCTCTTGGAAGAAAAGAACTCATTGCAAAAGCAGCAGGAGGACAGGATAAGAACTTTGGCCAAGATGGTGGTCACTTCGTCGTCTTTTTTGCAAGAACAAGAGTTAAAAGTGAGCCTGGAAAACTGGTTGTTACAAGGGTTTCAATAAAGCTGATAGCGACAATAGATACACTTGTGGTGCCATCCTGAGAACACTTTTGTGGGAGAAAGCCCCACTGGATAGACCGGAGTAGGATTCTGAGTAAAACTGATTTAGGATTGTTCTCTTAGAATCTAAAATTCTCAATTTTTGTGTGAACACACACAAATATAAAAAAGCGAAATAGAGGGTAGATCAAAAGCATTTTACTGAGAAGCTGTAAAGGGATGAATCCACAATAAAACAATTCAGTGAACTTTCTGGGGCTTTTGTATGGTGTGCTACAGTGCATACAAACACAGGGGCCGTGTGCAGTTGCCATATACGGAACTGGATCACTGAGCTTTGAGACAGACCCTGAACTATCAGCTTGCGACCTCTGGTGTGCTAGGCTCAGGGACCTGTGGCCTCTGCTTCAAGATGATCCGGACTCAAATCTGTCATAGGGCCATGCTGAAAGTATTGCTTTCTTTGTTCTGTGCTTCTTGACTCTTATTTTTGTTGGTGGTGATGTAATTTTGCATTTCAGACTAGAAAGAAGAGGAGAGTTACCTGGACCCCTGGACAAATAAACTGCAACAGGGAAATATTCTCAGAAGACTTCCCTGAGAGGGCCAAAAGATTTAAATCCTCTCTGTCGGCCGTATCGGAGATGGAGGAATGTAAGTGCATTTTCTGGGAAAATATGAATAGGGCAGTATTCTGAATGAGTGGGCAACCTATTGCACCTGTGTTTGGTTGAAAAGAAATTAAGAAATCTATAAAATGGGTAATGGATAGATTACGTGATAAATAACAGGTGCTCAGTTGTTACCCAAAGGAGCAGTCTCCTTTTAATTGGGGGAATTAGCAAAAGAGACAGAGCATGTGAGAGGGGGTAACGAGTGAGATCTCCACCAGCGTTTATGGGGATTTTTCCCTTTGAGGACTCTCCAAATATACCAGTCCAAATTAAATAGAAAGGATTTTACTTAAAAGGAATAAAAGAGTAAAACATATGCAAGAGTACAAGGAGAAACACACAAGGCTAACAAAGATAAGGGAGCAGCAGGGATGCAGATTGGGTGTCGGTGACATTTACCTATCTAGACGAATGTAGTCTGTAGAAGAGCAAGGAAAGCAACCTGTGTTTCGAGTGTGAGGTCTGGATCCGGGAGGACACACACACAACTGACGCTCTGGGGAGCCCAGTTACAGGAAAAATTGTACCTCAGGCAATTTGACATATGCGTCCCCTAAAACAATGCCATGATTGGTTTGTTGGGGATAAAACAATGTGTTGGGAAAGGTTTGATGACTTTCCCATGGGTGGATAAAGACTTGTGACAGTTTGCATGAGAGTTGCTAATGGGGCTCAATAAGATTGTTGGGTGTAGGCTGAAAGTGTTAATGTTTTCTGATGAAATTGCTGAATGTAAACTAAAAGTGTTAGTGTTTTTCTGATGACCGCTGACTACAGGATGGGAGAGGCTATTGGACTGTACCCATTAGGATAAGTAATCAAGGGAAATGTGACCAGGTGCAATGTGCTCATGTCAGGGAAGGGTATTGTTTCCTGAGGAGCCCATTGATGAGGTTAAGTATCTCTTTTGAGTGGGGAGGAAAGCTATTAGCAAGTCCATGACCCTGAATCACCTACCCAAAATCGTTTCCCAGGCTTGACTCTGGCCAGCATCCATTTTGTTTGTTCCAGCTCCATCTTGTTTCCATTTCTGGGCCAGGCTGTACAGTACACAAGTGACTTTGGGGGGGGGGGTTTGATATTAATGAAGGGGTGTCTTGCTATAAGACTGTCCTTCCACAAGAAGGGTCTGGCTGCTAACTGTAACTACAGCTAAATTGGATTCTACTAATTCAGAGTTTTCTATCGGTTATTGCATAGTTATATTGGAACTAAAGGGTCAGAGGAATGTGTGTCCCTGGCTAGCTTGGGTGCCTAAATGCTCAGACTTTTAACAGTGATCCCCAGGTGCTTGGTAGATCTAGGCTATGCACAAATGTTCCTGAAGCTGAATGCTCACCCAGCAGGCTGTCCCTAGTGTTCCTTTTTAAATTTCTTCCATGATGCAAACCTCTCAGATTCTAAGTATATGAAAGAATGCTTACATTTTTGCTCTTGAGCTCTCTAGGACTGTTGAACACAACCTTCTTTGTGTTAAGTTTGTGAGGTTTTTTGTCTTACCATATTGGTAAAAAGTCTGGATTTTGTGTGTGTAGCTATGTCTTCAGTATTCTCTGAATACGATGATCACTGCTTGGCTGTCAGTGCTACAGTTCCGGAAGAGGAGTGGATTCCAGGGCCTGAAATGAGTCTGGTAAGCAAGCTTGGAAACCTGCCTATTAAGAGAGATGGGGTTCTGTTCTCTGCAGTAGCATCCATGAAGAGTTTTAGGTAACTTCAGCTTCTGAGCTACCAGTATATTGGGTTCGATCCAGACAGCTTTTTCACTAACTTGCCCAATTCCCCTCCTTAGTACAGCCCCAATCTCACATGGCTTTTGAGCATTCAGGTTCCACGATCCCCAGCAGAGCCTAGGGCAGGAGGTCCTTTTTCACCAGCAGAAAAACTGGTTGGGTCTACTCAGTATTCCTGACATACACAGGTTTCGTACAGAATGGAGTCTAATTGGGGTGAGGGAAAAGAGACAGAATTAAGTAGCTCATTTAAGTATTTTTCTAATTCTAGATCCATAAGGATTTTGCAGATTCCGTCATCCTCTGTGAAACTCTTGCAACAGAAAGGGTGAGTCAGCTTAGTGTTAGTTAGGAATTCATCTAATGTGGAAGTAAAAAAACCTCTTACTCTGTTTTTTTTAACTGTGTAGGACACGGCTGTAACTAAACAACAAGCTACCCAAGCAGAGCTGGAGACCTTACAGGTGGAAAAAGAACAGCTGTCACACGAAGTAAAGGAACTGACAGAGAAAATAGAAACAACTGAATTTATGGTTCTTGAAAGGGAAACCTTAAGGGAACATGAGGTAAGAAGAAGAAGAGATTGGATTTATACCCTGCCGTTCACTACCCAAAGGTGTCTCAGAGTGGCTTACAAACTCCGTTCCCTTCCCGTCCCCACCACAGACACCCTGTGAGGTAGGTGGGGCTGAGAGAACTCTGACACAAACTGCTCTTTTTTCAAGGACAGCTGTGCCAGAGCTTGTGACTGACCCAAGGTCACATCAGCAGGTGCAAGTGGAGGAGTGGGGAATCAAACCCGGTTCTCCCAGATTAGTCGCACACTTAAACCACTACACCAAACTGGACCTAGTGAGACTCCTCTCATTTTAAAGTTTTCTCTAGGAATGTCTGCCTTCTCTGAAAACGTAGCGCAGATTTTTCAGCAGCAGTGTCTGTCTCAAAATGACCCCACAGCAGATGTGTGCTAGAAGTCTAGAACTGTACTCTCTGTGCATTTCTCCACCCTGTATCAGAGCTAGATTTCAGTCCATTTGCACCTTGGAAACCAATGTTTTCGAGGTATGAGCTTTCAAGAGTCAAAGTTCCCGTTGTCTGATTGCTAAGGGAGCGTTGACTCTTGACAGTTTATTCCCTGAAAATATCTTTGGTCTCTGAGGTGCTACTGAACTCAAATCTAGCTCGTCTGCTGCAGACCAACATGGCTACGTTCCTGAGACTGCCATCCTGTATCCATACTGCATTCTGCCCTTGCTCTCTGAAGGGTTGAGAAGCGGTAGACTGTGCTGATGGGCGAACTGTTA